TTTACTCGAAAATTATATCTCACTTGAACAGAAACAACATCCTCATCCCAAACCAACACGGCTTTCGGGAAAAACGCTCTTGCAACACCCAACTATTCGAATTGTTGACAGACTTGCACAAATCCATGCATAGCTCTGCTCCTACAGATGCTATTTTTATAGACCTTTCAAAGGCTTTTGATCGCGTCCAACATAACCGATTAATAACTAAAGTCCGTAACCTCCAGCTTGATCAGAAAACAATCCAATGGATTCAAGAGTTCCTCTGTAACCGGTCGCAATCGGTCAAACTTAACCACATAATTTCCAGAAAGTGCATGGTAAAATCCGGTGTCCCCCAGGGCTCCGTGCTCGGACCATTATTATTTTTGGTCTACATCAATGACATTGGATCTAATATTGTTTCTTCTCTACGCCTATTCGCAGATGATTGCGTTATATATAAGGAGATTACCGAACCGAATGACAGTAGCATCCTACAGTCAGATTTGTTAAAACTCACAGAGTGGTGCAACTTGTGGCAGATGCACATCAACGCTGAAAAAACCAAACATATTAGATTTACTTCCGTAGCCAACCCCTCATCATCCGTCAGATACATAGTCAATAGCACCGTAATTGAGACCGTTTCATCCACAAAATACCTCGGCATTTTCTTTAGTTCCGACCTAACCTGGAACAGTCACATTGAATACATCACCAGCAAATCATCAAAAAAACTCGGTCTTTTGAAACGCCGCCTCAGATGCGCAAACTTGAAAACTAAACTTCACGCATATCAAGCTCTGATCAGGCCTTCACTAGAGTATGCGTCAACCATCTGGCATCCACACACGGCAATGTTATCTGATATGCTAGAATCGGTACAAAATAAAGCAGCTCGGTTTATCACCTCCTGTCATTCTCGCCACCAAAGCGTAACATGTCTTAAGCGTTCTCTGAACCTTCCATTGCTTGCCACGCGCAGAAAGTTGTCCCGCCTATGTTTTTTCCATAGCTTATATCATAGTGACTCGTCATTTTCCCGATCATTCATTCACCCGGCTCCCTACGTTTCTGATCGCGTTGGTCATGCACATAAGGTCAATCCAATATATTCACGCACTAAGAAATACCAATTTTCACCTCTGCTGTTATCCATTAACGAGTGGAACGCGCTGCCCTCAAACATCGTCGCTATTACAGAACCCTCCCTTTTTCAGTCTGCAGTACTAACTTACTTAGAAGTTGACAATAATTTGTAACCACCATTGACATTTAATGTGTAACGCATGCTTAGAGAATGTTTATTGCTATTTCTTGAAATATGTTTCCTGTTATGGTGAGCTGCTTACTGTGTTTTTTGCTTATTGTGTTATTAGTAATGTTGCTTGGGCTATCGGTCAGTTTGATTACTAGTATTACTCCCTGACATGTTGTTTTACTGATGCTATAGTAACCTCTTGTATGTATCCCCCCTTATGTAATGCCTTCTGGGCTCTTAAGGTATTTAAATAAATAAATAAAAGATTAGTGACTACATGTTCCACGCCTAGTGTGTCCAGTATTCCCCACAATTCCTCTTGAACCACGCTATCGCACGCTCCCTTGATATCCAAAAATGCTAGCCACAGGGGCCTGTGTTCCTTTTCTGCTATTTCGATGCACTGCGTCAGTGAGAACAGATTGTCTTCCAATCTCCTGTGTTTCCGAAACCCATTCTGCAGTTCCCCCAGCACCCCCTCATCCTCTATCCACGCCTGCAGTATTTCCTTTATAATCTGCATCGCCAGCCTGTAGACCACTGATGCCACTGTTATAGGACGCTAGTTGTTTATGTCAGCTGTGTCCCCCTTTCCTTTATAGATCATGCTCATCCTGCTAAGTTTCCATCCATCGGGAACTTCACCATCGATTATTATTTTTAGTGGTGTCGCTCGCGAGCGCCACCGCGTGGAGCTTGTTTAAAACTGAAGGCAGGCCAACTCCGCTGGGAGCGCGAGCCATTCCTCGGGCATCTTTCTAGAGGAGGCGTTGGTTGAGCTCGCGATGTGAAACGCTTGCAACAGCGCCGCGCCATTGCGGGCACGACAACGTCAACGTGACGATTTCGGGAGCGCGTTCACCGGGGCGAACTTCCGCTCTGGCGGTAATTTCTCCAGCGTCACATTGACTTCGGCTGCGACGTCTGTGACCACCTGTGGTTCGAGAATAACCGCTGTGATTAACGCATTAAGGAACGCATTTAACCGCTCATTACATTCCTCCATGACCGTGATCATGCGAGGCAAGATGTGTGGTGGCATGTGAAGTGAACACTGTGGAAAACCCAAGCCAAACTTGTGTCTAAGCTCATTAAGAAGCATGAACATGTAAGGAATAGTTGTGAAAGGCTTCAGTGTCACGTCCAGTTGAAACTCCCGCTAAACAGCGGGGCCACGCGTTCCAGCTTTCGCTGATTAACCATTTTTACGGATTGCTTGCGTGGTGATGTTTTTTTTACAAGAGGGCAGGCTTATATCGGTCCGTTCAAATGACGGCTACTGCTGGGTAGTGTTGCTGGCAGGTTTCGAATTAGCAATGTCGGTGGCATTAAAGTGTGGCATTTTGACATTAAAAGGCGAATGTTTTCGTTGCTTTGGTTGCCTCATCAAAAGCAAAAATGGAGCGTCGGCGTCTCCTAGTGCTGAAATCAACGCAAGTGACGCGAAAAAAAAAAAAACTCACGCATCTTCACTCGTCGATTATCCACGAAGTGAATTGTGACTAGTGGATAAAGCTCTGAGTATCGGATCGGTCAGTAACCGTACGGTATGCACTAGCGTTGATGTACTCTAAATCGTTATCCACTTTTTCTAAACATATATGATGTAAGGCCCCCGGGACGGCTTTCAGCTCTCCCATAGTAGAGTATCGAGTACTCTAAATCGTTAACCACTTTTTTCTAAACACACTGGCATTGCCCCTTATAATGTAAATTGAGCGATATAAAGTGTATGTAGAAATGTAAATCTATTCTGCCTTGCAGTCACCTAAGGCAATTATAGAAATATTTTAAAAATTGCTGGAGTAAAGGATATACCTGGAAAGTGAATGCAAGGACGCGTTATCTCTGTGGCTACAAGATACTATTTTATTAAAGGTAATTTCTTGGGACATATGGTGCTCGAGATGTGCCTATGTCTTATAGGCATTCTAGGGAAACTTCAGCATCTAGAGACATTTTAGTAGGTGCCAAATCTTCAGTACTATTGTGGGTAGGTTATTTTCCCCGGGAACAGCCATTGATTTCCTTATTATTAGCCGGGGTCTACGTTGACGTCTATTACCTTATTTTGCGTTTGTTTCAGTGTGTATCTCGCATATGTTTTGACTATATCAATGGTTCTATACCGTGGCAGCAACGATTGACAGGGTTAAGTTCTAAACAGCTTCGCCCCTAAAATTCCGCACGTAATGATGCTCTTGCGCAACGTCATCTTTATGTCACATATCGTCAAAACTTTAGGGGCGAAGCCCCTTATGTTGTGGGTCGTGCGTCCGCGATGTATGTATTTGTACGTATATGCGTATATATGTATGTATGTAGTATATGTATATATGTATATTTGTATGTATGTATGTATGTAGTAGTAGTAGTAGTAGTAGTAGTAGTAGTAGTAGTAGTAGTAGTAGTAGTAGTAGTAGTAGTAGTAGTAGTAGTAGTAGTAGCAGCAGCAGCAGCAGCAGCAGCAGGTAGCCACCTCCACGAGCGGACTAGAGTGGCACGCGCGCACCATTTTCAATTGAGAAGAAAACCCACGCACGTTAATCAAAAATAAAAAAGATAGTTGTTTCTGATGAAATAACTTACAGAGGCGAGTATCGGTGACGTAATCTGCAATAAGATTTGCCTTGAATATGATGCTTATTAAAAGAAAACTAGTATCATAAAGAAGAACTTTGATCACTATCTGACCAGAAAGGGTTGCCAAGTTATACTCGCTTGGCGTAACCTCCTTTGTTTTAGCAAGGTTTAGGCAATTTACGTTACAGGAAGGCTTCATGCTCTCCCATAGTAGAGTACCAAGTACTCTAAATTGTTCACCACTTTTTAAAAGAACACAGGTTTAGTGAGGGTTGGGCCGCAGTGCCATGAACTAGCGGCGGTGAAAGATGAGAACTAGACGAAGCGCAGGCCGTAAGAGAGTGCGCGCGCGCTGCTCCTCTAGTGCAGCCATGCCACCTCTTTTGTAGTCCTTTGAATGTCCGCTGGATGGCGGTACTTCTACATTATGAAGATATGATGAAAAGATGCGAGATGGCGGTACTTGAAGTGTTCACTAGATGGACGGACAGATGAACAGACGCACGGACGCAGAGACAGACAGACTCACGGACGGACGGATTGGTGGACGGACGCATCGATTAATGGATGCACGGATGGACGCACGAATGAACGGATGCACGGACGGACGGACGGAAGGACGCACAGAGGGACGGTCGCACAGACATTCGCCCGGACGGACGGAAGCAAGAATGAATGGACGGTAGCGCGGATGGACTGACGGATGCTTCGCCCCACTCATCATCATGCACTCCGTCAGTATGCTGTAATTTGTTTGCCGTCATTACGGCGTCACTGACATCACATCAGGGGAAACCGTCGCTTGGTCAAAGGAGGTTCGATAACGGAGGCACTGCAGTAATCATGTGAGGCCCTTTGCCTCCAACCCCGGAGGCCATGTAAAACTACTTTATGTGCAAAAGCTCTTGGACGGAGCGTAGGCTTGACGCATCGTTCGATAAAAAAAAAATGAGATGGTTTTCGTTTTCGAGTCATCTAACGTGAATGCATGAAGACTCCTCCGAGTTTTCTCTCATTCTTGATTTAAATAATGGGATCCCAAATAATAGTATTCTGTATATGGCGTATGATTATCATTCTCGGGCATAGATGTTTTACAAAGAACTACTGTGATGGTTTTCTATGTCTGAATTTGCGCCCATGCTGCTTGGACTGATCGTGATTGGCGTCGCAGGTGCTTCGAGATGGAGGCGACCTTCCCGCAGGACTCGCTACTAAACGTGCAGATCTACGACTGGGACTTGCTGGGCAGTGACGACCTTATAGGCGAGACGAAAATCGACCTGGAGAACAGATTCTACAGCCGCCACAGGGCTACCTGTGGAATACCACGCAGATACGAGACGTGAGCTGGATTTCATTGATTGATTGATTGATTGATTGATTGATTGATTGCCCGGATGAAAGCTGCAGTTAACAATTGTTTTAGAGCAGCTCATTTTGAAGTACTGGCCCTTCTGCAACACCGAATGGTTCTACGCACGATATACAAAAGATAACAGGTTGAGCCATTTTTGAAAAATAGCTGTGGTAGCTTAAGGTGACCTTGCTGTGATAAGCAGCAGCGGGTAGATATCTTATTTCGCTGCACTTATCTGCAAGTTCGTCATGTATCGTTACCTGCTGATTCGTGCCTGCTAATATGTGCACTGAATCTTTCCCTTGTTACTAGGTTGCCAGAGAGGCGTAGGTTATATTGCAGAAGCTTATCGGAACACTTCATGAATGTCTTCTGTGTGGCATGTTTCTGAATGCCTTTATGAGAAGGTAATATGGGGGTGTAGTTTATTAATGTCTGTGTTCAGACTGCAAACTACTGCCAAGTAAGTATTTGTGGGACAAGGTGAAAGAACAGGAATTAGAAGCGTTATTGAAGTAGACACATTAGGTTGGTAGTTTTATCGTGTGTAGTCAAACAAGCGCGGGACCCAAAGCTCATTGGTTTACATACGGGGATGAAAGGGGAATTTCGTAGGCAAACATTAACTCCTCTTTCAGTTCATCAGCACAGCGCCAAGACCATTATATCACCACGCATGCAACGTTTCCCCTTATGTAGGGTGCACATTTAGGCTGCGTGGTTCACGATTCAGCGATTGTTATAGCGCTGAGATCAGAACCACGACAAAAGGACAAGAAGAAGACGAGCGTCTCGTCTTTTCTTGTCCCTTTGTCGTCATGATTTCGCGCTATAACAATCATCATGTCATATGAACTAGTCCAAACCGCCATGCTTCTGAGTCACGATTCGTAAATAAAATAGCGCTAGAGGGACTGGAGGAGGGAAGAACACACACCATGGTGGTGAGGTCATAATCATGAATTCTCCCCAAATTCCTACTCAGCTGCAGTTGATTTCTACTATATCGGACTTTTTCTTCGTTCACGTCTTTCTTGTGTGTACTTTCTTCAGTCGTTTCCATCAGTTTACATCGCCGTGGCCTGTGTCCCTTTTGCCGTAGAGTTTCCTAGCAATACACTAGAGCCGCCTATGCTTCTCGTGACTTTTGGAGCTGCATCACACGCCACTTCCACCAGCATCGCAATGATAGGTAGTACATGGATTTGTCTAAACTTCGTTTTTTCCCTCCGTTTGACTCTGTGGGATCTGGATCCCCTTTGTCGTACAGTGAAATTCTACAAACATTTGAGCACTTCAACTTCAGCCGCTTGACTTCGTAAGGTTAACCAATTCAAATCGGCTCATTAAGTTTCCACCCATTTATCCTTTTATCTGAAACACGCACCCACACAACAATACACAGTTGAAGGTGTGTTTGTAACAGCAAGAACAAATAATAGCCAAATCCGTCTACTACCCATAGCTCCCATGCTAGCTGCCAGATTAGGCAGTGTGGTATAGTTCCCTCTAGTAAGTATTGTAAGACATTCTATGTTTTTGAAGCACCCTTATTCTGCTTCATTATCTTTGGCTGCTCTTGTCATCCGCATCTGATTTGTCTCATTCACGCAGCATTTACTTTTAGTAATAATGGTGCCAATGACTATAATAATGACGTCGGGTCCAGATACGGCCCGAACCAGTGGAGAGACCCGCTGAGACCGAGCCAGGTGCTGGCCAAACTATGCCGAGACACCAAGCTGGACGGGCCGCACTTCTCGCCGAACCGAGTCAAAGTAGGCACAAAGGCGTTCGTCTTTCGGTCGGACTTCGAGGACGAAGGTGAGGTTTGGTTAGTTTTCTATACCAGAGTCACGTGGGGACATACGGTCGTGTTCAAAGACAATGCGCAATATACTAATCCTGATACTTATCCAGATTCAGGTGTTGCCATAGATGTGGACGTTTAATAGCAATCATACCCAATTTGGATAAAGAAGATCGCGATCTGTGCATCCCGCTTCGGCTGACTCCTGCACCAAACTTGACATATTGATGGGTTTGCAGCCCGTAGCAGCTACCGTTTTTAAGAGCGAAGCTCTTTAGGCTCACCTGAATGCCCGTTTTAGCGGTCATCGTATAAGTCCCCGGCAGCGTACTTATGGTTTAAATAATCAACCTGCTCTGTCCATCTGCCCGTATGTACCTCTGTATATTCGTCCATGCATCTATCCGTCCATGTGGACGTTCATTCGTCCGTGCATCCGTCAGCCTATCACTTTGTAAATTATAAAGTATGTTCGGAAAACGCATGTGCCCATTGAAACAGGGTCGGTCAGCACAGAAGGCGATGCGTGCGTCTCCCTTCTTGCATGGCGTGACACGCTGGGCCCAGCGACGCTGAGCAAGCAAAGCACAAGCGCTGTAAAGTCCAACGCGAGGCACGACCAACACGACCTGCGTCTGTTAGCGTGCTCTGGCGGCCTCATGGCATACTCGCAATCATTTATTATCATTTCATAATCTTCCAACGAGCTTTGCTTCATCACGAGCATTGGCTTCGTGAATAGGCTGCGAACTGTTTTAAAGAGATTAAGAAATTCACTCTTGATCAACAATGATAGTTGCCAAAGTGCCTATGGGCTGTTTCAGAACATGTACCGCTAGTAGTTGTATAAGCCGACTCGTATCAACCGTGATCCCAATTAAAAGTGTCCTTGTGACACCGGCATTATACCTATGTTACAAAGGTAATTTCGACTGCGATCACAATTTATCTGGATTGGTTCAAATAGCACCTGCTGGTGCACGTCCTGAAGCTGTTGAAAAAAGTTCTAAACTATGTCTACTGCATGTTTTGCATCCATAACTAAATTTAGTGCAAGACAGCAAGCTCAAAATAAAGGGAATGTTGAATGCGTTCATTTAGTTTGTTCATAAGTAGTATATAGGTAGAACTTGCGAAGGGTGCTGCTGGACAAATGTGAACATCTCGAATAAGTGCCGAAACGGATTTCCGCCCGCTATGACGTCTTCACTCTACCGCTCTGCCTTGTGTGAACGTAACCTTAAGGTATTGCTGCAGGTCATACCGTTTGGCTTTAGACTTTCAATTTAAAGAGCAACTGTTCCAATAGCGCAGAATTTTTTCATCATTTCATATTCAATCTTTGTAAATGCCTTTCTTGGTGTGAAAAGCTTAAAAGTGGCTGTGGTTGCGTGAAAACTGACCCAACGCAGGCGGCAAGCTAACCGATGAGCACCAGAGTCTGGCCGTTCTCAACCGCTGGGATGAAGTGCCCAAGGTGGGCTGTCCCCTTGTGCCGGAACACGTCGAGACGAGGGCCCTCTACCATCCGGACAAACCGGGCATTGAACAAGTAGGTACACGAAGCAAAATGGTGCGCTAATAATATTGCGAGATTAGACGTGACGTGATGGGAGCACGATTCTCGAGGTGTCTTCGTCTTATAAGACGTCGTCTTGATGTGCATCCGTTGATATGAAAAAAAAAAGTGTAATGAATCAATCTCTGGGGTTTCAAGTTTATTGCTAGTCAATGTTAAGTTAAGCACTAAGCGCAGCAGCAAGTTGCGTATTAAGTTTCAGCACTAAGTTATGCAACTATACTGTGAAACAGTATCGGGCTAAAACGATTTGCATCTGATTTGACCAACGAAGTTCCGTATCTGAGTTATTCTGCTAAGTAGTCTAAGTTGTGCCAGTAATTAAAATGGGGAACGAACTTGTGAACCTAATTTTTGCCCTCATTTGTATACTTAGTTGCGTGGTTCTTCTTGCAAAATCTCTTCTGAATGGAGCGTGGAACGCAGGGAAAGCTGGAAATGTGGGTGGACATGTTCCCCATGGACATGCCGCTTCCGGGACCAGCTGTGGACATCTCTCCCAGGAAGCCCAAGAGGTCAGCAATTTGATAGCTTCTCAATGCAATCACACTCATCTCAACTTAGTGGGCAACAAGTTTTGATAGCGTCTCGATGTACTCACGCTCATCTCAACTTAGTGTACAACAGGAGCCTCAAACGCGCGGTCCACGGACCTTTTACTGGTGACTCAGCCCACACATAACTGTCGCCATCCCATGATTTAGGAGCTTGCTCCTTTTGTTGGGGGGGGGGGGGGGGGGTTGTCTCTCATCGTTGCGCTGGTGTGTACGCTAATACTCATTGCTCCCGCTAGAGGCGCAGCTGTGCCGAAGTCGCCGCTGCTGAGGCGACACTCGCTCTACTCTCGACGTGTGCTCTAGTTCGGTAAAAAACCGCTAGGTGACCGCGCCTACATATAGCGCTCGCTCTCGGTGCGCTTCCTTTCTCTTCCGCCGGATATCACTCAGTGCACGTCGATATCGCTACCAACTATGAACATCGCAGAAGTCAAGGTGACGGCGTGGAGGGCTCGTAGTGCGGCTGCTGCGCAGGCTCGCCATCAGAACACTTCTCGAACTTACTACTACAACCTATAATTTAAGGTCCTCAGGCTTTGTACTTTACGGAGCACTAAGTCAATATACAGAAAGGAAAACGTTCTTCCGAGAAGTATATACTGCTTCAGTATGAAATTATCTGTAATAGTACATATATATATGTAAATAATAAACACTGTGTGTATAACGTGTACATACAATCACACCACAACAACTCATGTGTCATGTCTTTACATGATCATGATTGAGCATATCTACAGAAGATTTATAGTTTACCAGATTTAACCACTGGAGCAAGCTCCTTTATCATCACTAACTTCATGGATATGCGAACATTTTTTTTGCTACCTCATGCAGCAGTCACATGTCCAAGGATAGCCGCAGAAAAAAAGTCTTTCAGATTCGGCGTCAAGGTCTTAGGTTCGTATTCACAAACCAACTTTGTTTGGCTTTACCTTGAGTTTTCCTCAAGTTTTCGTACCCTCTAAATGCGCTGTAAAGGCATAAAAATAGTAACGTTGTAAAAAAGTCGCGAAAAGATTGGTTCAGGAATACTGGCCTACTTTGTACACCAAGCGCAATAAAGGCTTACAGCCGATGAGAAAAATGCGAGATAAGGCCGAGAATGGTTTGCCAATACGGGCCTTAGTGATTCTGTAGGTCGAATCCATATGATGTTCGAACTCTGACGCCAAATTTTCAGAAATGACCTATGCATGATATACGGAAAATTTTTACCGAAGAATGAGAACGCTACTTCATATTCGGTTCCATTTCAAGCACCTGCTGTTCTTAAATATGGACGTATATCTAAGTCTACGTGTCGCCTTCACCAAGATAGGACATGTATCTTAGGTTGACATCTGAAAACCCATTCATCAACATTAAACACGCTCTCTCTATCTTTCTCACAGCTACGAATTACGTATCATCATTTGGAACACAGACGACGTGGTGCTCGAGGATGACGCGTTCTTCACTGGCGAGAAAATGAGCGACATTTACGTAAAAGGGTGAGTTTACAACGTTCCTCACAAACATTTTTATGTTTGCGTGTGGTGCTAAATAGTTCATATTTTAGTAGATATTACTCAATTTTATAGTACTTAGGTATCCTAATCACTGTCTCATTGTGCAACACCTGTCCGTGCTTACACTAATCGGGTAGTTAGAAATGTCCTGGAAGTTTTCAGTATGCGATGGTCCACTGGACGTTGTAGGTTTGGATTCTTGAAGTAGGTGGTGTCTCTCGTGGTGTTTGCAATTACACTAATAACGCTAATACTTCCACTGCTACTGAATGAGAACAAGAGGAAACATTATTCAGAAATATTATGAGTGGAAGACAGCAGGTGAGCTTGATCGTGATGCTATTTACTTCACAATACGTAATTATTCGGTCAACGCTACCCGTCTGACCCTCCGGGTGGCTTCAGTGGTACAGTTCTCTGTACTGCTTGCGATGCCACTTTACATTGTGCTGATTAAAGTATCTTCCTTCATGTACCATCGGTGCGTTTGTACTCTGTGCGACTTGAAGTGTACAGGTCATTCGATACATAAAATTCATATATTGAAAATGTGTTCAAGAGGACATCACAGGCTCTTTTACACAAACAATGATTCTTTATATCAGCCTTCAATATATGCGCGTTTGACTTACAGGCAAGCACTCATATATTGGACACAAATTTAACAAATTATTAAATAAATCGAACAGATGTCACATACCACTCAATATATTTTTCATATATACTTACTTTATATACTAAAGATACCCATATATTTGAAGAACTGCTGTATGATTGCCATCAGATTCGATATATACGGGCATAAACTACATACATACACTTGTCTGACCCCTGCTACCCCAACTGTCCCTCCGCATATGCCGACCAGTCCGACTTTCTTTTGTATTGCCCAACAGCTCAGTAGACCAGCTTTATTACCCTTCCCCTTAACTTTCCAACACTACCTGGCTCGACCGGATCGGCGCCGAAGGCGAAGCAGAACAGCATCGAATGGTCGCACAGCTGGTCGAAATGTTAGGCCTTTAGGGTTGACTGAAATAAATGCCTATTACTACTAGCACTACGGCAGCTCGATAGATAAAATATTCTACACATCGCAAATACATTCAATGGGGATTCCGCAACAGTTCGATATCATCAGTGTGTCGTTGTAAGCGGGTTTCCACTGGGACAACAATACGAGAGTTTTTTGCGCTCCAGGTGGCTGAAGGGCCAGGAGGACACCCAGTGCACCGACATCCACTACCGGTCGCTGACTGGCGAAGGCAACTTCAACTGGCGCTTCGTCTTTCCGTTCGACTACCTGCCCGCCGAGGAGAAGATCGTCATCTCGCGGAAGGAGTCGCTCTTCTCGTGGGACGAGACGGAGTGCAAGATCCCGGCGAGACTGGAACTACAGGTCTGGGACGCCGACCACTTCTCGGCCGACGACTTCCTCGGTGAGCGTGATTTCGACGACGCATCGTTTTCTCCCATAGCTAGAAGCAATTATTTGTGGACAGTTTAGCACAACATAGAGTTTTCTACGACTAAAGATAGCTATCGCTCATACAGTATATTAATGATAGGTGGTACGTGGATTTGCCCATAGTCTTCGTATTTGCCTCTGCGAACGCACTTCTTTGTACGTTTATTGCTGTGTTTTGGCTCTCATTTCACATAAATGAATGACTCGTCGTCAAACGTGAGAGATTATTCGAATTGATCATCGCCATTACAACCACCTCGCGTGAACACTTGCTCTGGCAGGTTCGTACGCAATTTACGCCATTAACATATAGTGGGAGGAAGGACAATAGACATTATGAAGGCCGCTCACTGACTTAACTGCCTATATGTTACGTAGTCTAGAAAGTCTCTGGGGTCGTCCCGTACGCATCTGTTATGAACACTTTGTTGTTGGTCTTTCACGAATATCAAGAGCTTCTTATAGGAATATGACGAGAAATTTCTAAACGAGAGGTGTGCGGGAGCCGAGGTTTCGGCAAGCGGGCTTCAAGGCTGCAACATTAGGCCAATGTATTATTTTTTGACGAATTTTTAGTATTTCGACTCTGTCAAGTTGTGCACAGGATTCTCCTCAAGAATAGCTTTATGTATTTATATAACTTTTGGCATTGTTCCGTATTTGGTGTCCAAATGTTTGGCGGTTGCCGAGGGTCTCTGCTTACGTCTCTTATATCGGCCATATCAAAAAAAAATAATTTTATGCGGAGAGGTCTTGAAAAACTCAGTTGTACCTTTTTAGAGCTCGTACTGATTCAATGCATTGTTATTGGGGAAATTATAAGGCCACGCTTGAAAAGACCACTGGACGTATCTCTCTGTAGCATGTCCACCACTTTCGTTATGGGTGTTGGACCGCGGCTGCTGAGCATGTCGTACTCAAAATATATCGAAGCAGATTTAGTAGCATGATTTCTCTTGCACTTTCCTTGATTAGCAATTTATATTCTCAACGCTCTAAAATTTGAGCGACTTCAGCTTCCTCTCCGAAGAGTTTATAGCTGATGAATTCGCAGCCTTGACGAAGAAAAGTCCACTTGCAGAACAGTGGGCTTTGGCACACATCTCTTTGCAAACTTCTCATCACAAGCTTCAATCTTGCCCTCACTCCTACGCTCCTTATATAGCAATGTTAGTGTTATATCTATGTTTAAACTTCGGAATTCGCGATTCGGTACGCTAGATGCAGATATCGCGATGAAATCAAAACAATAACAGACACTGGATCGGGCTTCGGCTGACACTGAATACGGAGGAGGGGAGCGGGCAGAGCCCCCCCCCCCCTCCCCCGGGCATCTGACAGGAGCCGCCAAGTCAGCCCCAAAGATTGACATAATAGGTAGGGGGGCGCGGAATCCCCTTGGCAAAATAGGCAGGGGGCGTTGGGTGAACCTCCGCCCCCCCTGCGCACGCCCACGCTCACGGATATGGTATTGTCATTAACACTGATAATGTTTATTATTCTAATGTTTACCATCAGAATCGTGATAAAAGTTATGTATGGCATAGCAGTGGAACAAGTTCCACAAATACGCGTTCACTCTTTACTGTAAGATGTAGGTACAATGTGTTTGCAGATTGGAACTGAATATTATGATTGTGCATCAGCACGTCTCGACGTTTGTTGCTACGTGTATGGCTGTCTTTAATGTTAGGTGACGTAGTACGCCTGCGAGGCTGATTGTTGCGATCACATCAACGGCAACGACGAGAAAGGCAGGTGTTGATGTTGTCATTTGTCGTGTTATGCAGACGTGTCTGTGTGTTATAATATGGGCTTTCAGAACAGAACCATCATCGTGTCCATAAAGTCGTTTGTGTATCACGTACGATGCTCTCGCAGGCGCCATCACGTTGGACCTGAACCGTTTTCCGCGCGGCGCCAAGTCCTCCAAGCTCTGCAGCCTCAACATGCTCAAGGCCGAAGCCAACGTGCCCACCATATCGCTCTTCAAGCAGCGCCGAGTCAAAGGGTGGTGGCCCTTCTTCGTCAAGAAGGAGAACGACGAGATGGTGCTCACGGTAACTACCGATTACCTCGGTGACGTCACAGAGTGCCTGCAATTTCAGTGCTGGCAGTGCCACCTGTCTCTTGTTGTCATGTTTCTCGGCTTCCTAAGCCTCTTCGAGTGAGCGGCATTGCAGTTTTGCTGTGAAACGGCCGTTTAATTTACAAACACAAGCAATTCATTTTATTCTCCTTAAAGCGCTTCAGTGCAAATTAAAATTTTGCGCTTGCATTTTTGTGTTTTTCGCGTGTTTCTCAACAAATACACAATCGCTCTGATCCATAACAAACTCACAGACCTCCATTCGAACAACACGGAAGTTTAGAGGGAAACAAATGCTTGACGTCATAGACGTGTGCACTGCGAATGGGGGGCGACGACCACTATCCCTGAGCATTCACAGGGGATGTCAAGCATGCCTCATGTTTTTACTCAACCGGACCTGTCCCGTCATCGTTCAGAATGCAAAATTTATGACAATACAGGTTTTTGACTATAACGATGACCGAGGGCCTCGGATGTGTTGCTACAAGATCTCTTCGCACTTTTCACATTTAGTCCCGTATTCACAAACGCTCCGGCACACGATTTTCCACCTCGGCTCCCAACTCGAGGGGCGAGTGGCATTCGAAAATGTCCCTCAACGTTCTCTCCGATAAGGAGCTCCAGCTCAACGCATTCGAAAGACGCGCGGGGAAAAGACTATGCAAAATATACTGCCTGAAACAAGCCTTGCAGCGTGAAAAAAAAAGAACGTTTGTTTTTTTTTATTATTCAAAACTGTTATTGTAAGTTTGTGTTGAGTCGTTGGCACTGCGGAGGAGATGTTTATTGTGTGTTGTGGACACATGGCTCCTGACGTCGTTGCGTCTGGCGACATAACATAGTATGCGATTGAGTGGTAGCAGAATTTGATATTACTTTTATACACGCATCGAAGACCAGTAAATGCGTACGTTCCGCCTGCATATTATTCTGTAGGTAAAGGAACTAGTCATAGCTCACTGGAGACGATGACCTTTTTTTAGAAGGGGCACACGCACAGCGCTCTTAATTCAGTTTCGTTCTCGCACAGAAAAATTTCACTGTCAGGCGGCAAAGAGGTGTGGAAGTGTGTAATAGAGAAGACTGCAGTAGCTGACTCTTCACTTGACACACTCAACCCACCTTTCACGGCATACGTCGAACACAAAATGTGATGATGGAACAGATGCGTTGCAGACGAACGAAATGTATGATTAAAAATATATTGCGAATCAACACAACAAACTATAACAAAAACTACGCAGATGTTTCGCGACCTTTTCGGGTGGGATCCTCAGTATGCACTGGCATCATATGAGAGAAGGTCACCCCGTCTACTAATAGTCTGGTATGTCCTCTGTAGACAGAGATATACGGGACTAGATTTCTCATAACACTTTTATAGCATGGCGACACACTCTGTTCAACAATTTCTATCACAATAAATTCCCACTTGTTCTGGCGCAGGGAAAAGTAGAAGCGGAACTGCACTTGCTCACGAAAGAAGAGGCCGAAAGAAACCCGGCCGGCCTCGGACGAAATGAACCGGACCCACTAGACAAGCCCAAGTAAGATTTCATACTTCTTTTTCTTAGTTTCTATATTTTCTATCAATATAGTGGAAGCGGCGAAGAACAGCGTGCATTCACGACATCAAAGATCTGTGAATGTCTGTTACAAGAGATGATTTTACAGCGATGTGCTGCTACTCCAGGCAGAAGTTTCCTATCATACGTGCATAATTTATATAGAATATTATTGTTACTGCAGCGCAAAATTAGAATGTACGTACAGTCCAGCTCAATATTATTTGAAACATGTTGACTCGGGTAAAATCACCCCAAGGCTTAACAATGAAACCGACAAACGTTAACTTAGTTCAGAAAGCACCGCTAACTGAGAAAGCTTAATTCACTTTTTTATTTTCTATGTAGGCGGAGATTCTCAGTGTTTGGCGGCACTTTGAGCCCAGACAGCCTGCTTAAACTCAAACTAAGCGCGACTGTACATGCTACATGCTAGTAAGTCTGTCAGACGACGAATGAAATTGTATGCACTGAAAGAAGGCTGGCATACGTTTGCAAAAAAGAGTCAGTGTTGACGATTTTTATTCGATTATTTAGTGATGCTAACGCGCTGCGTTAAGATGGCATTTTAATAGGAGAGTGCTCTTAACGAATGTCCAACAATTTTCATTGTTAGGTGAAATAAGTTCTGCCAGTTATGAAGACAAAAAAAGAACAATGCTATATAAGAGTGGCTGAATAACGACAGGAAACGCTAGACACTGTTCCATGTATAGCGATGTTTGTTCCTGTCTCAATGATAAACCAACCAGCCTAGTTAGGGGCACTGCTTCCTGCACGTTACAAAACGAAAGTGTTAGGCTCGTGCCCATAATTGTGGCCGAGACTGGCCAATGCGACGCATGTTTATTCTATACAGGAAAAAAAAACAACAGGAATGACCACGACGTCGCAAACCAAGCCCTCCTTAACTCTTCATGTATATGCAATTATCATTACGCGTTTTCTTTGTTTCCTTCTTCCTAGACAATGAGGTACTAGGTGGATTCAATGCGTGATGTACATTTCATCGCGTGCTTCGACCAGAATTTGTGAAGCAGTTCAACTTATTCTGTATTGGTTTCATATTGCGTTAAGTTAAGGGACAGGGTGATGCACGCAAAGAAATTCAAGAAGTGGAGCTTCAGTTTATCTCCGTTGTGAATAAGTCTTACGAAAACGTAGTATCAAATTTAGAATAGCCCAACTAACAGCGCTCTAATGTGCATGCCATATCCACCGTTTGTGTGCAGCCGACCCGACTCGTCGTTCATCTGGTTCCTGAACCCGCTGAAGTCGATCCGCTACATTGTGTGGCACCAGTACAAGTGGGTCATCATCAAGGCCATCATTGCCATCCTTCTCATCCTACTACTAGCTCTATTCTTCTACTCCGTGCCCGGTTACACCGTCAAGCGCATGCTGGGAGCCTAGTCATCCCAGCGCGCTCCTCAACCTCCCAACATGCTCATCACATCCTGTAGCCTTCCTCCAGCTCCACCAACCAAGAGGATTCATATCTACAGACTTGGCCGTCGGTCGACTCGAACTCGATCTTTCACCGCATTGAGTCGAGCCCAGTGGTGCCATCACTCGAGTACAGAAGACACTACGCCTCCACAGAACTGCCATAAGCAGTGAGCTAGGTGTAGTGAGTCCTTCTGTCGAGGCTTAGCGCTGTCGTTAACGTTCCACGCTATGTGCAGACAGTCTGGAACGAGACATCCCGGAGCAAACGTTCTCACCACGAGTCCTAAATTTTGCGCTTTAGTAAGGATTACAAAACTACTCAACACGTTGTAATGGAACGTCAGGATATGCAACTAACTAGACCCAAGGAAGGCGTGCGTAATTAAGAGCTTCTGGGTTTTGTCGATAGAAGTAGTAACGAGCCAGTAGTTGATATAAGCAAGAGACGTTCGGAGTATTGATTGAAAAAAGAAAGCGGGAATGAGGTTGATTTATCAGAAGTTGTTCCAAACGCACAGAGCAGTACCATAGAAAGCCTGAAGCTGGCAGAACAAGGAAAAAAATTGCCAGGAAGTCAGCAAAAGATAAAGCCACTCATGATCTGGTAGAATGAATCAAGTTTTAAGTGGTTGCCACCCAGTTCCGAATGGGCTGCTTTAAGCATCATCATCATCGTATAATCTGAGCGGCATGCCGATGCAAGGAACATCTTTATTGCCGGATTTACTCCGGCGCCTTCAAACATTCGCCTTCTCAAACTATTGCGCTCCACATTAGCTGCTTGATCACGGCGCTGGCTCTAGGGCCAAGCAGGAATCGCGTTTTTCTATAGGTGGCCTCAGAGATGAGCCGGTGGCACGCCGTAGCAATGGTACGCCACTGGCTGATCTCGGAGCCCGTGCTCTAGAATTGCTGGCAATCTACTATCAACAGTGTCTGACGAATGTTGCTGTCGAGATGTGGTGCTTCAATCTGCACTACTAAGTTCAGGTGAAGCAAAGTTGTTTCATCTGGTTAGTTCGTGTACATAATTTCATTGTGAACTTGGACGGTTAAGTTGTGCTTAGTCTATTTTGGGAATGGTGCAACACTACAAAAAAGCGTGCAGCTCAATATACCAGCTGTATATTCTGGTCAAGAAAAAAATGTGTTGTGGACATGCAGCGTAAGATCTTGTTGCAACGCCGTTACGTGATGGAAAAGAAGCGTTGAGAGAAGGAACATTAAAATTCTGGGCTGATTGACATTTTGACCGCTAGACTTACAAAGCGTAAAAGGCCGCGTGAATATAGTAGCGCAGAACTTTCATTTGAATGATGACTCAAGTTGTTCCGTTCTTTTCAGGACTGACTGACTGACTGTAACTGAAGTCACATACGCAAGTATTCAAGCAATATGTTGTGATATAATGAATGAAATCGGAACATTCATGCCAGACCCAGCAACACCAATGGGAAAGCAAAAATTGTTAATTGGAGAGCTGTTTCTCTTTGTAGCAGATAACCATTTTGTTAACCACTTTGCAGTGTAGCACCGAGTTATCCGATTGTATTAAAACGCGAACAACACTTCAAAATCAGACCCAAATATTTTCCGTTGTTTGTTTTTTGCGATCGGTGATTTACAAACGCGAAGGCAGACAAAGAAAAGTGATTTGTTTCTTTCATTTGGCTCGTATTCATTCGTTCGCCAAATTTGTGGATTAGTCGACTGCTTAGTTGTTGGCTTATACGTAATCTCTAATTCGGTCATCCTTATGAAAACACAGTAACGGGCCACCTGGATTGCTCAACCTGAACAATTTTTTTTTCACTTACGTTGTTCACCCTTTGTATCATCATTCCATACATGACCTACGCGATGTTCAAACTCTCGAACAATGTCTTTTCTCTTTCAAGTTCCCATGAATATTATTAGTATTCTAGTTATTCACCGAGGATTGAGCAAGAAGCGAGTGAAACACTTATACAATTCTTAACGGATATATTTATCGACATCTCCACTAGACAGGGTGCTAATATAGTCTCGGCAGTCAACTGAGTCGTTTCATATGTGTTTACCTCCTAAAATATCTCATTTATTAGCGCAGCTGAACAAAAAAAAGCATGTTTTTTTGTTCAGCTTAATGACAAGATTTCTATTTTGTCGAGGAAGTCAAATCACCCTCTCATAATGTTGATGACGCACAAACCACAGCGTTAATGGAGGACACGCACGAATAGATAATCGAATGAATAAGACCATACACACATTAAGCAAGGAAGGAAATAAGGAGCAAAAGAACGGCAGGGAGGTTAACCAGCCTATAGGCAGCTGGTTCGCTACCCTGCGCATGGGAGGGGATGCGGCTATGAAAGGTGGAGATGGTAGCGTAAGTATGCCTAAGGCACAAGAGTGAAACATAAAAATAACGAATGGCACTGCTCCAAACAGTCAGTGTTACCTGATGATGTCAAGTTTCATCTATAGGTTATTTCTTTCTCACTGACTGCAATCGAAGTGCTGACGCCCACACCAGATGCGCAGGATAGCCTGTTGAAAGCCTCGATTCCCGGCTCTCTTTGGTGGAAGCGTAAGGCTTTTCTCTTGTACGTGTCTGTGCGTGTCGCTCGCACTAGGCAACACCACTGTAGGTCCAAGATCGGTAACAAACGACATGCTTGCGCAAAAACGCTTACCAGTGACACAACTGCAATGGTGCTATGTGTGCCGAGTGTGTATTGTTTCGTATAGGCTAGCGGGGAAGTTGGAAGGGGTAAATAATGTGCCTGCAGTGAGCAGCGAATCCGACGCCGCTGAGGGCGTTTCACGCTTGACCACGGTCACACACCTTAGCCGGGGAAGTTTAGGTTGAGGACTCAGGCCTTATTCACTTATGAAGTCCTGAGCTGTCTTGTTTTTGGTAACGAAAGACAAGAAAGAGCGCAGAAAATTACGCACAAAGTTGTGAGGCGACCTCTTGTATATATTGCTTCGCGAATTCGTGGCAGGCATAACTGACACAGCTAGGAAAAAAAATACCTATCTGAAGGCGATGACATCGCGTTAGTGTGTGGGGGAGTTGAAAGAGGAAAGAGTGGAGCGAATCACGTGGTGACGCTTCCCACAATTCATCAGGGTGAATGTTGCGGTGCTATATCTACTACTCGAGAGTTACGTACATCAAGGCTATAAAACGGTAGAGAGTGTAATTAGACAATAGTCGTAGGAAATTAAATACAAGTCGCTGTTTCCCGAAAGAGATTATGGTGTGTCTTACGACCAAATGTATAAGTACGTTGTTAAAGGCAGTACAGTGGTGATGACGTTTGTAGGATGACGTAGGATTGCGTATATAAGACAGCTGTAAGGGGAACGTGCTAAGTAATATTGAAGGCGCTAAACAAAAGCTAGAGAGAAGGAAAGTTTTGTACATCTTGCAGGATCAAGGAACTCAAACGCTGTGTATATTAATGCGAGGAAGACTGAGAGTGTTGTTCTTTTGCCCAAGCCACTATATGCCCTACGGATGTAAAGGCACGACCAGTAGCGTAGTACGTAAGTGTTACCGCGTGTTATTAGATGTAGTGCACATATCCATATAAAAGGACACACTATTTTCATTCACGGATGAATATTTTGAAGAGCACGTACTTGAATTTTTTTTTGGACACAAGGTATATAACGTTCTTGACTGCAATTAGTTGCTGTATCATAGCCCTTTTGTAGATATCTGTAAGTACGACTGCTATGACCTCTTCGTTAAATAGTTGACGTAAGCACCCAGTAAATGTGTGCATGTTTAATGGCCCGTCGTGTAAACAACCTGTACTATAAAACTTGTTTCTAGTATGAACAGATATTTCAAACCTTTTGGTGAAATTCCAAAGAGACAAAGTAGTCCTGCCTAAAGTACGGTCCTTTCTGAAATGAAGTATATTTTTTCTAGAATAGTAATTTGTATTCTTTTTCGACTCATAGTTAATTTTTCCCGTTAATACTTTACTTTTTGTGTTCTACCTGTTTGCAAATCGAATATCTTATTACAATTATTACAGAACCTTGCATGACCCAGTAGTTATCAGTGTACATTTTGTTACAGCAAATGAAGCGATGCATCGCGAATGGAGCAATGCTAATTACTAAAAAGGCATTTCATCTTTTGTGCCATAATGTATCTGTAGTTAAGACAAAACCCGGTTATCTCAAGGGCTGTCCAAGGGCAAGATATACGAACAAATTGCTTGTTTAATGCGTGCTTTTATTTTTGAGAAAGTGATACATAAAATTGAAGATAAATCTTTTGTTGCCTTTAGAACGTGCACCAAGCCTATTTCAATTATTGTTCCTGAGTTCGTTTATTAATTCGGAGCAGGAAATGTATGCCTGAATGTCTCAAGTTCAGCACTGGAATGTATGCAGATGTGTCTATGCTGTCAAGCACGCTTAATAGAGCATGCTCATAACATCGGCTAAATATAAGTATTGGCCCTTGCCATAATTTGGCTAATATGATGCGTAACTTCAAGAATATAAATAAATAGGTCAACTCAATTATTTCAATGTGCTTCGAAGTATTTCGATCTTGATTTAGAACAAAACAAGCACTTTTGTTGGCAGTATGTGCTTTCTTGTTTTGAATCAAAACAAGGACTTCTGTTGGCAGTATGTGCTTTTTTGTATATTTGAAATGTTTTTAAGCTTTAGAAATGAAAAGGTGTGACGTTGCAATCACAGTCGAAGTGCACGAGTGATAACTGCAACTTTGTCTTTCATTCGGAAGTCTAAACAGCTGTTACATTAGGCTTCAATCTGGCAGCAGTCACGTGGTCCTTGCAGCACTTCCTCAAATGCAACAATCTACAAAATATTTTTTTGAACGCAAAGTATCAAGAGGCACCTTAATTTTAAAATAAGAAGGCACGCTTTCAGGGCTATACTAAGCATACGAATAAGTATCATGGTTAGCGATGCAGTGCACCACA